ATGATAGACACACCGGCCATTGTAAATATGCACCCCATTTTATGATGCGTGACAACATTTCAACAACAAAATGCCTCATCTATCATGTCGGTGCCCCGATTACTGCCAATATTCTCACGAGAGGATATCCTATACAAGCCTGGTCAATGTGTCTTCATTGGTTTCTAAATGAAGTCAGGTTTGCTCCCCCAGGCATTGTGCACTCCAAAGACACAAACTAAGCTGTTCAGGTGGGTGTTGAGCAAGTTCATGGAGCTAAATCCGCTCATCGCATACGTAAGAACATCTGGCTGTACGGTCACCGCCCCCCAAAATCAAAAGTGACCGTCAAACATGGGTGTTTGGAACACCACCGCAATTCATGAGGATATTTCATAACAATGGACGGGTTCTTGCTTGTGAAACAGTGGTCCAAATTGGGGGGCCTGACTAAATCGACCTGAGTTGTACATCATTTAACGCCTTATGACACGGAAAAGAGTTAACATCCGGAAACGATGTGTCCGACTCACTTTTTCCACCAGATATATTTTCGGTATCGAGGTCCCGCTGCGGCCAGACCATAGTAGGTGTACATCATAAAGTGGATGAAACTGTTGAGCATACCATGGAACGTGCCTATCCCACCTGTCGCATGACAAAGAGAGCAACAAAAGGAAAAGTAAATGCATTGCTTGTGAAACTTAACAGGAATGAACTAACCTAAGTAATCTAAGCCATGTGTTTTCCTGGAGCTGCTCACGAATTACTCAAAGTGGAATATGATGAAAAGCACTACTATTATTATTATTATTATTATTATTATTATTATTATTATTATTATTATTATTATTATTATTATTATTATTATTATTATTATTATTATTATTATTATTATTATTATTATTATTATTATTATTATTCACTCGGACCACCGAACACTATCTGCTATCATAAGACCTAGTGTAAAACGTAGAAAAATAAAAGAGATGTGGTCGAATCTTGGAAGGCCGGGCTGCATGATGTATTTTAACCTTACTGGCACCCAACGTTGGGATGCACAGAAGACGGACCGTGTGTTCTTTTGGTTACCGGTTTCAGAGTGTTAGCTTCCGGACCATGTATCCGCCAACCACTCCAACACTGCCGAGTACAGAAATTCCTACAGACAGAGGGAAATGGTATTTTTGCCTCATCTGGTAGTCTCGTCACTTTGCGGAGGTCTCAATCGGGGGAGGTCATTGTATTTGATTACGTTACGATGATTAAACTAACCAGGCGCTGAATTAAGCAATTCTGACAATTGGCCGACAGCAGATATTTTTTCTTTGGACACCAAGACAGGTTCTCCATGGGGATTAATGAATTTTGGAAAGAAACGGTTGGTTCGCTATCTGCCAATGTATTCTCAAGGCCCAAAACGCGACTGTTCGTATGTACACGTACTTTATGACGGTACAACTCTCATTGAGACCAAATGAGAAACAGGTGGGCTCGAAACGGTGGAAACGAAACTGCAAAAGTCCAAGGGAAAAACCCGTGATTCAAGAGTAAGTCGAAGTCACCACTACGGAGACTCGCGCACCATAAACATGAGTGTGGCTTACACAAAAGCGAGAGCAAATACATTTTTCGAATCTTTTCTTTAAAGTCTCATCTACTAGCCACGGGAGTAGGCGATTTTTGTTAACAAAGTCAAGAAACTTTTCACTTTCTGTCTCTCCTTTTCGCTACTTACCAAACTGACCACCTTACTGTCAGAGTATTTTCCCTGTCTGACAATGTTTCTCATGACAAATCTCCGCACAATACAACTATGTGGCTGTGCCTACTCGAATGGTCACAATATGACTACCTCACTGTGTAGTTTCGAGCTTGCCGCAGCTGGGATATACGGCAATTTCTCTCCTAAGTACCCACGGTGTGATTACCTAACCGAACAACAGTTAACGTGATCGAAAATTACAACCCAAAGAAAACAACGTGCAAGGCTGATTCACGGCTTGATCGATTCGAGACACAAGCGGCCAAGAAAAAGAAATCAGTTGTCGGTTCGGCTCAAAAATCTACCATAGTTTCAAATAGCTAAATCGTAAAGGGTGGCTACGATTGACACAAAATAAGTCTGGGGTTTCAGCATTCAGAGCAAATTCCTGTCTAGGTGAATTTTGGGTAAGGAATTTATCTCCACGAAACTTGCTTTCAAACGCAGCCGCTGTTGTGTGAAACACATGATAATGTATGTCAACTTTCATCTTAGGATAGAAAAAGATACGTGCGGCATTACCTGCAAGTCAGCGAAATGGCCTCACTTGTGTACGAAAAAGCTTACAAATATTGTAATCGTTTTGTGTGCTTCAGCTCTTTTAGGGCACAATATAAAGGCACCGAGGAGAAACGATTGAGAAGGTTGATTGGACACTTTCGTATCACCTGCTGTGTTGTGTGAGAAGAGTCACTACGTACATTCCCGTTATCCATGTGATGACACACATTGTGTTCTGGTGGTAAAGAACTTATTGCAAGTTAACGCGAATAAAAACAGACCGTTTCATTAAAAATGATACATTGATTTGAACTGAAAGAGTCGAAGCAAGCGAATCATTGCTTTTAGTATTAGTTAGATGAACGATAGGTCCACAGGCATGTTGTCCAGGCCCACACTACGAGGATGTACGGTGGTGAAAACACAAGTCTACAATCTCACCAAACAGAAGACATCATCCGGAAAGGGACCAGTTAGCTTCACCTGAAGGTGTTCACACTTCGGAAAGGCTCAACATTAGACCACGAGTGAAAGGGGAAGTTCTTGTGTCCCTATTTCGGAGAATACCGCAATATTGATATCAAATGTGTTGGAACCCATTCCCGTTAGCCTCAACAACAAGCTAAACAGTTCGTCAGTGTGGCTTCTCGGCACTGCACACATAGCTTCATCCCCTTCCACCGGTATTTCCAACCCTTCGCACGTCTTCCCGTTAACCCCTACGTTCATGGTTTCAAGACCGACTGAAATGGGATCAAAGGCTCCACCACTATCAGTTTTGTCTATACGGAGAAAAGTCACTTCCTATCTGGCTTTAAATCTAGCCACATCGGATTGCTTGATTTGGAAACCAACCAGTTAGTCAGTTTATTCCATCCGAAAAATAAGGCCCATTCTTCTAACACGGACATATCCTCCCTCAAACCTGGTGCGGTGACG